TCCTCTCGTTTGACAAATACATAAACTGGCATTTTCTAGTACATATTGGACATTAAAGTAGTCTTCTACCGAGCTTGATAAACGCGCCTTTCTAGGTCAAATCCCCTACATTTCTATCGAGATCGATGATCTAACATATCCCAGACAGACAGAAGTAAAGCGAATGATGCAAGTTTACAACAACCTGACGTACTTTCACCAAACTTCTTCCCAGTCTCTGGCGCTTTGAAAGCAAACCTAGACAATATTAAGAATCAGTAAATAATCTTCTGCCTCTGGTCGATCGCCGCCAAATCGCGAGAAATTAACGAGTGCGAACGCATAAGGCAAGGCCAAATCATTCGAGAAGTCTCTTGCGAGCTTAGATCTTCTACAAGTGGAACACAATCGTTTCTTGTATTAAACACGGATATCGAGATACTAAAATGACCCAACACAAACGAACCAGTATATAAGAAGGGCAAGCTATAAGTCGCTAGCGCTATCGCTTGTCAATAAACAGTGAAAACGTGATTCCAAATGGGAGCAAAAAATCTTTGTTAGACAATGACACGTTCCGATTTCTAAGAAGACAGTTTTAAATTTCCCATTCTTCGACCCTTTAACACAAATATAAATTCAGTAAATGAAACCTCCTTACCTGTTTTCCCAACTCCTTCATTGCCAAGCAAGGCAATTTTATAAACTCTCTCTGTCATGGCGAGTGTTATAAAGCAATAGCTCTTGGCAATGAAATGCTCACACGAAACGAAGATTAAAGGCGAACTAATCAAATCGGCAGACCACTCAACAAACAAACAGTAACCCAATCAGTGATAACCTCTTCTCCTGGCTTAATCTAGAAGTGCTTCCTTTGTACAACAGCTGTTAAAAGAAGAAACGTCGATTGAAATTTTCAAAAATGTCACTTTTGGTACTCAACTCACTACGATGATGCAGGACAGACTAAAATAATCACAAATCCCAGACGAATTAAAAACAACAATAGCGGATCATGATGATGGCAGATAGCTAAGATAAGTAAGATACCGAGATTTCACTGGTACAATGTAGATGAAAGATTTATTACGTTTTGTGCTGATAAGCGTACTTCAATCAATTAACCACGACAAATATTTGGGCTTTTGCGGTGTCGCAATCCGACCCCTTTTCCCGTGTCCAATACTATCTCTTACACGATTGCAGCAATGTGTGGGGGTGAAAAGGAGATGAGGGCAAAAGTTTGCAAACAGAGCTTTTTGGCTACATTTTACTCTAAAGTACAATCTTGGGATTTTGCAAGACTCCAACACGTGTCGTGAGTCTGCGATTATCGGTCAGTAGTAACGCTCAGTAACGACCTTAAGGTTGTATAAGTTTTGATTGAGAACAGATTCGGAGCAATTTCACCATCTTGAAGAAATCAATTTGTATATTAGGCAGTAAAAGATATTTAGTCAGTAAGAAAATCCCGTCAAAGCACTTTCACACAAGACAGCGCTTATAATATTCACGTAGATGAGTTCGTTCTCTCAAGTTTCTCGGCTGACCTTGGCGTAATATCCTTTTGATTAAGCACGTAGCAAGCCAACAGTTATTTGGAAATCTTACTCAATTTCCAAGTAAAAAAATAACAGCAACAACAACGACAAAAAAGTGTAAACGCACATCTACGAACTTCAGGGCCTGCCCTAATCCGCATTACCTCAATAAAATTACTTTCATATCTTGTTTTGGCTGAGTTACTCTACATCCCTAAAAATCTCCAAATTACTCAATTTTTAAACACAAATCTCCAAATTCCCATTTTGTTTTAGAATTCTCATAGAACACAAGATTTAGAAGTAAAACTGTATGAAAACGGTCTGATCTGATCTCTGTTGAGTGGTCACTTATCAAGAATCAGGAAACTTCACCCCTCCGTTACTTTTAACAGTCTCGTGGTAAGCGTTTACACCGAAGTCCCAGCAAGCGTATCTTATTTATTGCTATATCTTAAATGGTCACACTTTGAAACCTGTATTTTTAATAAAAGGATTTCACTAAAAATCACTACACACGAAAGAATGGAAATTCCTAAAAGTTAACGGTGAAAGAGCTGTCCCGGCAATCGGGGTACATTCGGTGAGATATGGCGAACGGCTTACAGGTTCTTGACTATATTTTACCCTATGAGAATTGAGACCGAACATCTTATGAAAGATTGTGCGGTTCAAAAGTAATCGCACGTTTTTCAAAATCGCCAAGTAAGTAAGTAAAACGTTCAAAGATCACTGGACAGCTCCTGTAATTTCGACACTGCAATAGTCATAACAGTTGAATCTTAATAAGTAATCGTCAACTTGAATTCGTGCGCAACTGCATGCTCAAATGCTGGGCATATCCAGTTTCTGAGGTATCCCCGAAACTAATATCTAATTTCATCCCATTAATGGACCCTTATACATGTGAGAGGCATTAAAATATCTATGTCAAGAATCTTTACAAAGAAAAAGGTTTTCCACTTTGTTACTTCTAATGTATCAAGGAGCCGTTTGAATTCAATAAGGTTCTACTCATAAAACAACAGCACAAACTAATTGAAACCAAGTTGGAATATTCTAAAACCTGATAAACTCTTAACTTTCTATAACACAACTTGTCTATGAATTATGAGTCTTACCTTTATACAATTGTAAAGGTCTAAAAACGTATTTTTATGTTGAAGAATCGTGAATTGTTTCTTTCTGGGCCTTATGGTCCCTCTCTGTTTCTGGATCTTCCTCAAGTACGCCGTTATGAGTAAGTTTTAAGATGTCGTAAATGTCTAACGCTTCCCCTGGTGAATGAAAAGACACAAGGTAAAAATTTAACAGATATCACGGGAGTGGGGCCGGATAAAGTCCAAAACTATGCAAGGCCTAGTCACCCCANTATCAAGTGTATTAGTACTTTGTAGCTCGTACGGGTTTGTTGTGCATTAAGAGTAAAGAGAAATTAGGGTTTAGTCAGTTCAAGTTCATTGAACTGACTGAAAGCACACTACTTTTTTACTGCGAAACACGAGCAATACTTCGCCAGTTGACAAACTAACGAGGGTATGCTATCATTTCCACGATGAAATAGTTACTATTTATTGTTTGAGAGAACTCTTTAAACTCAGTTATAAAAGTCGCCCAATACACGAGGTATGAATGCTGAGTAAACAAACTCCCGGGATTAGCAATCGTTTCAACGATAAAATGGCTACTACTTATTGTTTGCTGTGAAAATAACGAAAATCTACAAAAGAGAGATCTTACTACTACTACCAAGACAAAGTTGACAACTTTTTAAAATCAGCTATCTATAAAACTTGCTCAACATGGTTGATTTGTTTTTTTTCATTATATTTCTTCACACACCTTGCGCTATTCCTTGCCCCTTGTGGAGTCCCAGTGGGTTGGATGGAGTTTTACAGTCAAGCGTCACTTCTTTACGTAGCACTGTGTCTATATCAACAGCACTGAAGAATGCCACGGACTGAAAGGAAATAAAACACGCGCGGGGTAAATAAAGGTCAAGATGAGGTTAATTGAAAACCCGACTTGTAGTCAGTGAAAGAATATGTCGGACGTCAACGGAACTGCAACTGAGCAAGCCTCAACGGAAGCACGTAAGGTTACCATAGCAACCTCATGCTAACCGAGAAAAACAACTTTAAAAGAATTTACGGATAATTTACCAGGGGGTGGTTCTTTTAGTATTATAACTTTGATTCCAGTGCGTGGAAGAAATATTATTCCCCTTTGATATAACTTATTATCACTCAGAGGTAACGTCATGATAACTGTCCGCATTCTGGAAAAAAAAACTATGGCACTAGTAGTTCTATTCTCTCATAAAGCAATGATCTTATCCAACACAGACACAGATAATAGTGGTCTGAATTGTTGTACCGGAACGAGAACACGTACCGGTCTGCCTTATATACGAAAATTTCACTGTCAGATCACAAAGAGAACCTGAAAATCCAGAAATATCGCTAGGCCAAATGGTTCGAAAACTTTTTGGAAATTCTTTCACTAACTTATGGATTCTTTCGGCTGGAACGGGACGTCGGAAGTTTCCGTTCCACTTCCACGTTTCCCTATAGATTTTCTCTTGCGTCTAGTCCCCTTTGAGGGCAACCGCGCTGTCTTCTGATGCGATGATGACGCTAAAGGCCATTTCCGAGTTACCATGTGCCTCAGTTTCAAAACGAGTCCTCCTGCGAAACCTTTCGCATGAAAATGAATTTGATTTGTATGAAAACGAACTATGAACATTTAAGATAAACATTTTCAGCATTTTCACATGAATGGTTTCGCACGAAGGCCCGTTTTGAAACTGTAACTCGGAAATGACCTACTGAATGCGCCATCTTTCTCAGTTCGTCGGCTAACTCTGAAAAAACCTTCTCTTCCAGTATCTCCAGGAAACCACTATAAACTGAACTCATTTCGATATGAAGGCCACGAAGTACAAACATTTTCAAATCACAAATCAACTGTGTTATATTATTCATCGTTACCTGTGGTAAGTCGCTCATTCCCAGTTTGTGCGCGAACATTGCCCTAGTGAGGAGATTGGTAATTTGTAGTGCCAGAGCCGCGCGGTACTTGTCCTTGCTTGACACCAGGTAGCGAACCTGATAGGGATTTAACGGAAAAAGGACAGGACTGTTACTGTGCGGTTAATGCATATTCTTGAACTGGTTACCTTAATATGTGTTTTCTTTGAAAAGCTATTTGACACAGAAGATGGCGAGTTGATAACTACAGTGTACTTAACCATAGGCCCTTTGCAGGATCCGGTCACATGGTACGGAATTAATTACGCTGGCACGCAAGTTACGCAGTGGGACTTCCAAAACAAAGGAACTCGCACCGGTCCAGCCCGACTTTCCTTTGTTTTGGAAGTCCCACTGTGTGACTTGCGTTCCAGCGTAATTAATTCAGTACCATGTGACCGGATCCTGCAAAGGGCCTATTATCAACTTGAAGTTGTTACGGGTTAATTAAAGGAGCTACGTTACGGTTTGCGCATCTTGAGCAGTTTAGCCTAAATTTTTCAAGTTCGTTGAAAATGTTTTTCAAGTTTCCACCCGTCATAACAGCTCGTTTCTTCTGACTGAGCCCACCGTATCGATTGACGCTTAAAAACGTACCTGAGTTTGCTTACCTCGTCGTGTATGCTGATGCAAAAACGTCCGTCAATATTGTACTTGGTGAAAAGCCACTTCATGCAAACTAGCATGAGGTGTAGATAGTCCACAGCAGAGCTCTGAACAACCCAGTTAACCCGACTTGTCATGAACTGGAAACGAGAAGATGACCGGATATCAAAATTGTAAGAACAACTGTAGGAACTGTCACCAACTTGATTTAATTAAGGAAAATGTCCAAACATGTCTCATGCCAGAATTTTGCTGTGTGTCTGCCTGCCTGTCTACGGTCTGTCTGTCTGTCTGTCTTTCTGCCTGCCTGCCAGTCTGCCTGCCCGTTGCCTGACCGCCTGTTTGTTTGTCTGTCTATTTGCCTGTCTATCTGTCTGTCTGCCTGCTTACCTGATCGCCTGCCTGTCAGCCTGACTGCTTGTCTTTCTGTCCTTTGGTCTTTCTGTCTGTCAGTTGGTCTGTCGATTTGATAGTCTGTCAGTCGGTCTGCCGGTCGGTCAGTCAAGCAGTCTGTCTGTCTGCCTGACAGTCGGTCTGTCGGTCGGTCAAGCAGTCTGTCAGTCTGTCTGTCTGCCTGTCTGTCTGCCTGTCTGTCGGTCCTTCGGTCTGTCTGTCTGTAAGTTTGTCTATCTATTTCAGCTGGGTTCTCTTATCCTCTACTGTGTGTTCATCTGTCTTATTTTTTAACTCACCTCACTGCCCACAGCTGATGGTTCCAGTGATCTGCTGATCCTGCAATCCAGTACAGGAGTTCTCGGCTCCTCTGATTGAGCAATACTCTCGAGCTTATTAAACATCTCAGACTCACTATAAATATTACAACAGCACAAGCGATCAAAACAGAAAACTTCCATGATAATTTGTTCCACAAGTCTTTTCTTACACGAGTAAATCAGTTACCTATTCAGTCTCTTTTAATCAAAGAATAGAAGGTGGATACTTTGATCTAGAATGTTCGGTTTTAAATATCACACCAGCTTTTCACTTGCTACAAAAATACAGTGGCTGCTAAATAAGAAGCATACAGTTTACAAGGATTACAAAAACAAACTCGATGAAATAAGCGAGCTTGTCTCACGTTCGCCATTATTGTCACTTTACCTTCCTCCACACCACCTTCGGCCACTGTCGATACTGTTGGTAGAACTGAAAAACACCAAAAATATAATACACTTCAACTTCTTTATAAAAATCTGCTTTCCCTGTCCCCCGCCTGTGTCTGTTTTTTTTGTTGTTGTCGTTTAACTGTTAGTTGGGGACAACGAACCTTTGAAACTAAAAGCTGCATACACTTGTCGATTTGAAGCAAATTGAACACGTATTGAATGGTTGAAAATACATAGCTGGATGTCACGGTAACATAATATTTTAACTGAACAACTGAGACAAAACAGTGCAGCCAAGACTTACAATGCATTTGACCGATACAATACAACATCAATTTAACAACCACAAGAGACTCACCGTTTTCTCCGCGATGTTTTCCTCAGCAACTGGTAATACACTTTGGCAAAAACGCATCCATTTTCGTCGATGTCTTCAGAGAAGCCATGTTTTTCTGCCACAGATTTTCCATAATCGGTCAGAAGAAACCTTCAAAATATATACAGACAACGGCCACTGTGAAATGACAGTGTACGTCAAGCTAATATTTATCTATGGAGATAGCAAAAAACCGTGCACAGAAACTGGCAAGTCGTCTAGTTAGCGAAACAGACTAACAATGCTAACGATGCTAATTTGAGTCAAGAAATACCACAGGAATTAAACAGAGGAACGGAGAAATTTATGCAAACAAACTCATTTAAGGTGAATCCCTAGTAAAAGAACCCGCCATAGATTTCCGATGAAACTTGGTATGCTGTTGGAGGTGAAGCCGGGTCGGAAAATAAATCATAGTCCCAGGCAACTACTTGACAAGGCTATGTCATGATTTCCGAATCTTGAACTTTTAGCCTAATTCGTTCAAGTTCGTCATTCGCAATCCCTCTTAATCTTTCTCCATCCTTGACTATCCTCCCCCCTCTTTGATTTATTCATACCACTATTATGTGTTTTCTACTTCATTGACCTGGAGGTCCCTGCAGGTTCAAATTCTCCATCCTGTCGCTATTTGGATTTGTTCTCGGTAGTCCCGAGTTCAACTACTCGACCGTGTTGTGTAAATAGCCAACTAACTGGCCAACCTCACACCAATTGGGACTCTTAACAGTTTATGTTCTGTTTGAAATATTTGTTTATTCATTTACAGTGTCCCCATATCACAATTTGCACAACAGTACTAAATACATTTGACACTCAAATAAAGTTATTTTTTTTATTTTTGTCTTATTTTGTTTTGAGGTTTATTTCAACTTAAAGGCAATTTGTCTGTTGCAAAAATGGCTTTCAATAAAGTTTGTGTCATAGCTCCCTTAACCAAACCCCTTGCTGTCTTACTTGGCCACTCCCTTGGTGTTAGCGTACAGCGTTTCTGCTTTCTGCTTGGCTTCGCCCTCCGTCAGGCGGTGGTTGAACTGTAGAAGCAGTTTCTCTGCGTACTTCTGCCCCGCTCCATAAATACGGCCATAGTTGAAAATCTGGGACAAAAAAGACAGAGAATGATTGAAGAGACCGGAAAAGAAAGATTACGTAGCAACTCAAATAACAGCTGAAAGAGAAAACAACACCACCAACCGACAGACATAGCACTACAAAGATCCGTGTAACTTCGTTGATTAGTCGTGGCATGGCTGTTGCCAAGCAACAACCAATCAGCTCTCAGAGACACTTCGCGGATCTCTGTAGAGTTACGTCACTAGTCTGGGATTTGTCGTGCCCAGTCACAGATGTCTTTCAAGCAGAGGATAAATTGAATGCACAAATTATCGGTGAAAAGCAATTTTAGTTCACAATCATAACATATATTGAGACATATCGAGCCAATACTAACGTGAAGACAACACGCTATACTACCTGGCAACCTGAATGACTGACTGACGGAAGAACGGAACAGAAATAGACGAATGGACAGACTCACGGACCCAATGACCGACAGATCGACGGACTGACTGACAGACAGACTGACGCACGGACGGACAAAGCCGGAGACAGACGGACGGACGGACTGCCTAACGGATAGACGGACTGACGGACGGACCGACTGATAGAACGACTGACTTCTTCGCTTCACCTTCAAATCATAATACTCTCACCTTCGCGTGGTCTCGACTTATTCCAATAGTGTGAGCGGTCTTGCTGTGAAGGTCTGTACCTTCTGACTTCTTACCCTGCAATGTCATCCAGCCAAACGCTGTACTACCTGCATAACAACCATCCAAAGTCCATCAGGGTGCGTAAACTAAGCGTTTCACGACGGTTTTTAGCTTGCAGTCTGCCTACCTAAAACTCATTGTCTTCGCCCCGATGAAACATGCGTGTAAAAGGGGGCGAAGGGGAAGCAATTTTGCAAACCCTACTTTTTAAAAAGAAACCTCAATTGAGAAGATAAAATAAACCCAAAACGGCTCTTGCTCTCTCAGTAGTGACAAAGTCAGTATTGTGTTTACCAAGCTAAAGGTGAGAAATGTTCACCAGCGGAAAATAGTGTCACTTTGTATAATTACCTAGAGAGGTTCTGTATTTCGCACACACTTTAACTGACGTCTCTTTAAACGATGATAAAGAGATGTAATTTGTTTACATCTATCTTCAATTGTTTGCAAGGCTTTCCTGGCTTAAAAGCTTAACGAGAACCGTCCAGCAACGAAAAACACGCGGAATGATTTGACATCCGAAGCCGAGCTGTAAAATTCCCCGGCCACCCCGAACTCACTCTGAGGGAGACTGCTGGCCAGCAATCTTGTTTCGCGTTGAACTTATCCTAAATTACATTTAGCCACATTTAAAAATAATTTCTCTACTGTCTTTACACGATGCGCTCCAGAAATTCATAGCACAACAGTAGGAAGTAGTACCTTTGCCTCCGAGCAAGTCTAATGAGCTTTTGATATAGATCAAGTTAAAATGGCTCACCATGAATCCCCGCAAAATGAGCATCTCCTAAAATAGCAGCAATCCAGAGCTCCTGGCTGTCTACATCAGCCCCTACTAAACAGTAGCCTGGAGGAGCCCGCACCATGGCCTTCAGCTCTGAGCCAACACGATCCTCCTAAAGACAAAATCATAAAATTACCACATCATAGCCGTGACGGCCTTTGGATATCTGATTTTAATCAGGATTTAATTTCTACGTTTTCTCTTTAGTTTTAAACCCGATCGAGAAGATATATCAAACACCTAAGAGACAATTCTTCAAAAAATACTCTGCTGCACGCTTTCAACCCTCCTTTCGATGTTTGGAAATGTGGTAAAACACGATCTCTCGTGTATCTTACATGAGTAGTAAGCTGGACTTCCGTAGAGTGTTACGTGTTTCACCTTTTGATGAGAAGAGAAAACATTGATTGCTGCCGAGGCTACGGAGAAGCCGTTATAATCGTTTCCATTGAGAAGCACGGATTACTGGCAGATGGCGTTGCGCCCACAGTATCAAGGGCAGCGTTGTTGCGTGTGGCATATGGTTGGTTTTGTCACGCAGCCCGTGCCCTCAGACTCACCGCAAGGTGTTGGTCTGTCAATATCTTCTGCTTCGATTGGGGCTTCGATTGCCATGTCGACTACAAGTTTATTCGCTTGTGGAAGTATTCACCAGTGTACGAACGTTGTATTCACGTGACGGGAGGAAGACAACATGCTTTTATGAGCTTATCGCCATTGTTATGTGACCAAGTCTTCACTCGGCAGCATTCAACTTGCTCTCAATTTAATTACTAGTTTCTATGCCTGTTGTTTTTATATATTTCATTTTTGGAAACCATCAGCACTCACTCTGGGATTACTGGCTGTCAGCCAAGTAGGTTCAACTGCTCTCCTTGTTACTGTCCCTGCTGTGATCACACGAGGCAAGATGGCGCCATACATGTTGTCAGCGCTGTACTTTTCAGATCTGCAATGGGAAACGTTTACGATGAAAACACCAATATTCCTAAGATAGAAGAAACTTTCACGAAATCAATGTGCCAATTTACTGAGCAACCGCAGTGCTTGTTCCTTACCCAGTTATTTCCGAGGGTAGGTCGTCCTTGTCAAACCAGACAGCCAGCTGTGATCTAAAGAGAGACAGAAATAAGTAAACACACTCTCTTATCAAGACAACCTGCAAGAAATGTGCCACATTTATGATTGAACACCCGGGGGGGGGAAGGGGGGGGGGAAGGAGGCGAAGTACCCATCGGGAATTTTGAAAAGTGCCCATAAGAGGTATCAAGGTCCTGTTTTGTGGGCGTGGCTTGGAATTGTTTCACCCTTAAGAGGTACACAATGCTCAACAACATATCAACTGACATTGAATTTTTTTGGCTCAATACCCTAAAAGGTACCGCAAAAGCTCCAGCCGTGGACCTTTCTAGGCTGAACACCCTAAGAGGAATCAAACATTTTTTTAACGCCTTAAGGTACAATGAGCAACCCTGTCCGTGTTATATGAAGTCTCCCCCGAGATGAACAATTCCCATTTTAAGTTTTACATGTAACTAAGTTGGGATGCTTATTGTCAGTCTCGTCAATCTAATTTCCCCGTATGCCTTATCCTTGATGCACTATTTCACCAACATTCCTTTCTTCGTTACCCTCATCATTCCAAAAATCTCTACAAATTGCATCACCTAACTCTCTTCTGTGCGTTCCTCCAGGAGGATATCATCTTGTTAATAATCAGGGTTTTGTGAGCACTGTGGTCTCCAGAGGACACCAGTGTTCCGTCCTCCATTTTGCTGATGTAGTCTTTAGCCAGCGGGTTTCCACAACGATACTTCTCACCATTCTGAAACAGCAAAAAAAATTTCTTCAGTTACTCGACTTGGGAAGGCCTAAATGTATTACGAGAGTTATTATATGACTGAGAAAATTACTTCGTTGTGATTAGCTGAGAGCAGGCCAATTTATCGTTAATTTTTAATTTCCACTGCAGTGCAAATTAACGCGCGCGCTTTTGTGATTTTCCCAGTCATACAATAAAAGAGTAATAATTTTGTATGAAGGCTTGGGAAATTAAGGATTTACACTACTAATGATATTTGAAAATTCTTTCAAATTGCAATTCTGAGAGAATTTTCAAATATCGCGAGAAGAGTAAATCCTTAATTGCATTCGCATTCATACGATTACCTAAACAAATAGAATTGATGCGCAGTGCTTGAATGCAAGACGGTATCAAAATTTGCAAACTCAGTACAAACTAACCTGTAAAGCTGGCGGTTTTCTCGTGCGATGACAAAATAATAGCCAGTTGTTTTGCCTTCGTGTCCCAATGAAACCCTCCAGCTACAGTCTTAGGCCCTGTCCACACTAGATCTACGCCGGAGAAATTTGAAAATGCAGCTTCATTTCTACAGTTAGGCCTTCCGTCTACACTTCTCTGTCACGAAAACGGAGCTTTCCAAAAACGCTCTTCAAACGGAAGGAAGTAGAAACGCCGGCTTTGCGTTTTAGTGTGGACGGAAAACATTTTGAAAACGGTGTTTTTCAAAAACAATGATCTCACGATAATCATGTGATTTTCCAGACCGAGTTTTCCTCAAACACAAATCCAAAATGACTGGTGATTGTTGCGTTTTCAAATTTCTCCGGCGTAGTGTGGACGGGTCTTAATAAGTAACGGTAAGTTATCTCTAATTACCTTGTGTGGTATACGGAAGAACCATACTCCTGGAAGATTAACGTCATTGTAAGGTCCAACACCATGATAAAAATCAGGTCTGCTTTCTTCTCCTGAGGTCGCCCCTGAGGCTTTAACTCGAGGCTCTTTCTTCTTTGGGGCTGTTTCAGGTTCGTCTTCTATGGTCTCGGTCTTATCCGAGCCGCTAGAAGATTTCTTGGTTTGAGAAGATTTTCGCGGCCTCATTTCTTCCAGTTCTGAGCTCGTCCAAAGTTGATCTTCATCAAGGTTGTATACATCCATCTCATCATCGGCAAATTTAGAATCTGTTCCGTTTACCGCTTCACGATTTGCGTTCATACGGTGCTTCTTCCAAAGGTTTTCAAATGCGCTGAAAATAAAGAGAAATATGTTCACAAAGTAAAAGAATTCCATGTAACCTCCTATCCAGTTCCTCTTTAGGCTCATCAGCATTCCCAAAGGTTAGGAAACAAACTGAAGCCTTGGAGCCGACTGGCGCATAGCTGCCAGAGCTTATCCCGGTTTCTGTAGCATGAAGCGGGATTGTAGTCCATGGCAGGTCACTCTCCCGCAATTTGTTAGGTTTCCCCAACAATTCGTTGGTACCCATTTATACTCCTGGGTGGAGAGAGGCACTGTGAGAGTTAAGTGTCTTGCCCAAGAACACAACATAATGTCCCTGGCCAGGGCTCGAACCCGGACCGCTCGCTCCGGGAACGAATGCACTGACCGTGAGGCCACCGCGCCTTCACATTCCGAAAGGTCACATGACTAAAAAAGGAAAAGGATTTGTACAACTTTAAAAATTTGCTTATCTAAGCTGATGGTACAGTGAGTTGATAACCCTGTGTCTCTGTCAGTTTCTTCTTCTAGCTAGCGGGTCACACTTAATCCTCTTGAACCTGGCTTTAAACAACTGTAAGTAACAAGGCTGTTTCTGATTAATTCCTGCATGACTAAATGGTAACGATTGAATTTCGAATGAAAACCTGTAGTATGTGACTGAAGTCCCAGGGCGGATTTAGATGGGGGAGGGCAGATTGGGTGGCTAGCCACCCCAGTTTTGGAGTAGCACAAAAATTGAAAACAATTGTGAATATCATAGAAGAAATAACGGCAAATACTCTGGTCAGGTCCCTCATTGTAATTTCTACTTTGTGGCATTGCTTGTATTTCTGGTTTAGCAGTTTTCAATTAGGTTCCAATTCTCAAATTGCCACATTTTGGGGGCATGCCCCATTGTTTCTGCAACAAGCCACTCCTCTCCCCCTTGAAAATTCTTGCATCCATCCCTGAGTCCTTTTAGTTTAACAAGTTGGTCACTAGATACACATCTTGAGACTGTAGGTCTTGGTAAAAAAATACTAAATATATCATTGTACCTTGTCGGGAATGTTGGTCCTTGTTCCTCTACTTCCACTTGGTCATCCTCATTTTGAGGCAAACTGATTTGATTGGCTGTCAAATTGTCCATCNAAAAAATACTAAATATATCATTGTACCTTGTCGGGAATGTTGGTCCTTGTTCCTCTACTTCCACTTGGTCGTCCTCATTTTGAGGCAAACTGATTTGATTGGCAGTCAAATTGTCCATCCTGCCAGGCACAAGGTATCCCCAGCCATGTTTACGGGTGTAGTGCAGCGGGAAGCCATCCCATGTCATGCGCAAGAGCGAAGGTGCCACCTGACACTGTGCGCTAATGTTCACAGGCCCTTCTTTCCATTCTTCCTTGTCTGATGGTCCCATACATAGAGATCTGTACCAACTGACAACAGGACAAAACAACAGTATATGGATGACCAGGGTAACTGGTCTTGTAATCCAGAGGTTCCTGGTTAAAGCTCTTTAACAGTGCCTCTAGCCTACCAATAGCTAGATTTGTTCTTGTTAGACTGTCAGACACATGATCAAATCCATGGCCGTGCTATGCAAATAGGCTGGTTTCCCGGTAGCTTAGATTCTTAACTATGTTGGCTTGCTTCATATGCATGGCCCAGCAAGCTTGAAGCTTTAAACACAACCTACATAAAATAATAATGTTCCTTTTTGGCCCCACGAGTTAATTTTAATTTAAAAAGGCTATCCTATGTGAAACACTAAGTGTACAAGCACTCTTGATACCTCATTTAGTGAATTCTCAGTTAGAGTCAGTCACTGGTTTTTGTGATACGTACTGCGCGAGCTATAAAGGAGACGATGTCACTTCTTACAACATGACGGGAACTACATACAAAATATCGCAAAGCATGATGGTTCACATGCTGATTATGTCACTGGAAGTGCATTTGAAGCACATATCATCACAGTTTTGGCCTGAAAAATGCTTAGTTAGTCATTTTCAGAACATTCTATGGAAAGGAGGTGTCTGTCATTTTAGAATGCTATTACTTCAAAATGAAAGTTCTTGCATTTCATGAGCGGGTTTTATTCTAAAAATGGAGACAGTTTCTCATTGCACAACTCCTTTAATGACCCACTTACTTGGGATAACCCGGTAACTTCTGCCGTCTCTTGTACATCACATCTACAGCTGGTGGAATAGTTGCTAAGATGTCAGAGGAGTTCTTCAAACCCTCAACAACTTCAATGCTATTGTCATCAATCATCTCATCTTCAAGAATGTCTGTGCTTAATCCACCTTTACTAGTTGCGCCTGTCTCTGTTGAAGAAGCATCTGCATCCATCTCTTTGCCACTGCTTGGCACATCTTTAGTTTTCCTTTTCTTTTTTGGAGGTTTTGGCTTTTTAGTTCTTACATCTTGGACTGACCAGTCCATGTCCCAAAGCCAAGGGTCCTCTGCATACCTAAAAAATCATAGAGATATGTACAAGAGCTTCAACATGGTACTCACCTTATCCATTCTTTGTGGCTAGAACACCCAACTTTGGTACCAACGTGCTAAGTAGCATGGCTACAAGGGTTCACACACTTTAAATTTATAACTCTACTTTTGTGTGGTATGACAGGCTTTTTGTAGTAGCCTTATGGTGTGACTTAAATGCTTGGGTAGCCCTGTGATGGACTAGCATCCAGAAAAGAACACTCCTAAAGCTGGTTGCTTAAATGACATGAAAACTGATGTGTCAGTCTGACGGGCTACTAAGCTTGAATGATAACATACCTCTTCCTAACCTAATCGAGGTCTGTAATGTACAGAAAAAACAAAAAACCCTTATTAACTTGTAGAAGACCACATCAGTAAGACATTTGTTACTGACATTTCTACTGTGTGTCTGACAAGTTCAAGAAATCACTTCTAGTTATGCAGAATGGCTTTAAATTACTAAGCAAATGTATGTTGAAACCAAAAAAAGTCTTCAATTTAGGAGAAAATTCAATCAACTTGTTTGATATTTAGAATACAAGGACAGTGGCAGCTAAATGACGTCAACCAAAGATAACTTAGACTGAAGCTTCTAACACTTTTTGACTTATAACAGAAAAAAAGCCTTGGAAGCTCATCCAATAATAATATTATTATTTATAGCTACAGTAGCTATTTTGGAAGTTGGACAGGAGGAATGTTGCAAACCTTTTTCCATGAAGGTAGTTACACGTGTCATCAGCTAGTTTCATCAGTGAACACTTCATTTCCTTCTCCAGATCTTCATAGGTGTCATCAGCATCTCGTATGTAGTTTTCCCAGGAGCGATCAACTGGAAGATAGGCAGATCCCATTTCTAACATCCCCGCAAAAGACACAGGGTGAGGAAATCTATCCAGGTATTTAGGCCACAGGGCCGCAAATACTTCCTGAGTTGCTGCAGTATCTTTTGCACAGTACATTACCAAATCCTGTTACAAAAGCCAGAGTAATACATCAACAAGACCAAGAGAAATATTCCTCCTGATAATTTTGAGCACGCATGCATGCCCCTGCTATCTACATAAGAATCCAAAGGCTATTTAACAGACAGTATTTTTGCTAAAGCAGAGAGCTGTCAGGGACACTAATACACATAGCACTGTTTTGATGATTTTGTTATCAAAGTTACATTACCATTTGCTTAGTATTTCAAAGATCTTCATAAGTATTTTTGCTTTCCATACACCTCAGCCACTAGATCAATTCAGCAATTCTCCCTCACCATTGCTGACGTCACTACGGACCACATGAGATTGCGTGAGCAAGCTTGCTTTCAATGTGCGACATTGTTTGCCAGGACAAGACGTTAGTCGCGTCAAGAGTATTTTANTTCCTACGCAATGGCTCAGGAGAATCACAATCAAACTTCACTTACAGGTAAGCTTGTTTAATTTTTGATTATAATTATAATTATAATATTTTAGCCATAGAGCATTTACAACATATAGGTCACCAAACAGTGTGCAACACCCAATTGAGATCACACACACTATACCTGAAAGTTTTCCCGCACATCATCAAGTGTTCCATCAACAAATATTTTCACCAGTGATTTGTCTAATTCATCACCACCACAATACAAGTGGTGAAGGTTTACAAGTTTGTTGCCAGAACCAATCAGCATCCAGGGTACTTTTCCAATGCGTCCAGCATTAGCTGATTCCCAAAGGCTACGCTGAAGACTTGTGAAGCCTGAGATACACATGTGGAGACTCAGAGTGTCCAGGAAATATGTTTTAGGTCCCTAAAGATGAAAATGCAAACTGTCAGTTTTAACACAAGACAAACTAAGACACTAATAAAAAGTGCATGTTTTCTATTAGTAGGTGGTGATGCAATAAACAACTGTCTCCAAATCCATATTTCCTATTCTAATCCAGCACAAAAAAAATTCAAACAATAAGTTCAAAGTTACGACTTGAGGAGGTTAGGGGCCCAGACAAGAGTGCAGATTAGGGTCCAGTTATTGGGGTCAGACTTGGGTTACAAGATTAAGAGTCAAGTCCTGGATTGAGGTATACTTTAGTATAAAGGACAAGGTTCCTTTTAAAGGTCCATGTTTTGAACTATCATTGACACAGGGGGTGCACTGAACCAAGTCATGAAAAAAGACAAGCTTTTATTTCAACAAGTTTCCTAACAAAACGAGTGAACATTTCTCACCTTTATATAACATTGCTCCTTTACGAAAGATCTGTCAAAACCAACAGAATGACCAATAACAAGCCTTTCTCTCCACTCAGCTGTTGTCCAGTCCTGGTTGTCTGTAAGCTCTAATGGAATGTATAACTTAGGAGTTGGTCTGACAAACCAATTGTAACTCTTGTCTTCGACAAGTCTTGGACTGACCCAACAGTACCTGGGTGAAGAAGATAATAAGAGGAGAAGTATAAAATGGATGTCTCCCAGAGTTACCCCTAAAGCTTCAATGAACACAGCATAGTTCTTAACTTTTAGTCCATCAGCATTACTAGTTGGTATAAGGTAATTTATTTGAATTGCCCTATTTTTGTCATTCACCCACACCCTCGGTTGAAGCAGTAATTCCTACTATATTTTCAAGACATTTTGACTGAAGTCTTGAGCTACTGTTACTCTTTTACTCTCAAACATTTACCAATCTATGGCACCATCAGGGAATGTAAAGAAAATATTCCACTGTGCATGATATAAAAGCAGTGTAGGTGACACAAATAATTAGAATATATAATAAGGACAATGATTTGTACAACTGTGGCAATAATAACACATTGAGGGACCACGTCCGTGGGCTTATTATTCCAACACAACAGCCACATTCCATGATCTGTTAATTGGAGATCTTGTTTTCAAGCTGAATCCTGGCCCCACAGGTGAAAGAATACCTGTTATTGTTTCAACGCGCAGTGATTACCGACACATAGCACAATCGACAATGCCATCTCGTAATACCGGGAACTTAATCAACATCAATTGTTCTGCCGGATTATCCTTGAATGGATATTATAATCATCTAATGACATNTTATTATTATTATTTTATTAAAATCACTAATGAGTAGCAGCAAGAACAGAAGATCTATGCTGACCTTATCATTCATGAGCCATTAATTAGGGGCAGACCTTTTTAAAAGGACTATTAAATACTTTTAAATGACAGTTTTCCCTACCCTTTCCATACTTCAACCTGTGAAATTCCTATTTATCCTTTTATATACCTACAGCATTGAAAACGTACCCCTTTCAGACAGAAAGGGTTGATTGATGAGAGGGAGTACACCCCCTCCTGACAGTATGCCAAGACATACTTTGAAAACCACACCAAAGGTACTCTTGAGTAAACAACATAAAATGAAGCACAGGATGCCTGTTCATATACACTCTAGCACTGGATGTACTGGAAAAATATTATAAGCAGGCTAGAACTTGTTCTAATAATGATTTACCATGCTGTAGGAGAGGCAGCCACCGCAATCACAGGAAACGGTCCCTCATTCATGCAGACCTCAACATCAAAGATTAAGGCATCCTCTTGTGGGACATCCACAGGTGAAGTGACCAATCCCTCATCAGTATATACATACTTAGTCCACCCTGGAGAGTAACTCCACTCATCTGGCATAGCAGAGAGTGTCACATCTGCTAAAATCTGAGCTTTTTCAAAGTATGGTCTACTTTGCTCTTCTGCTATATTTCTGAAGTGCTCATCGACATTTGAACCAAGCAGAGGTGGAAGTTCGAAATCAACCTCAGGCAGAACCGTTCCACTCTTGTTCCACAAGTTATGCGCCTCCAAATGGTGTTGGCATTTTTTCACCATCTCTGAATCGTAGATTTCCATTTTACCATGGAATACTTGATCGTGTAATGAGCTAGAAAGCATCTGGATTTCAAGAGGATTGAACCTCTTGAGCTCCTCTTCTTCTGAGCTTGCAGTGGCCTTATCTGGAGTAAACGGCGTTGTTGAACATCGGTGGTTCGACAGACAAGGGACGTGAAGTCGCGTTGGATTTACTGTTCGAGCGTTGCGAAACACCGCTTCAAGAGCGCGATACATATTTTAAAGCGAAGATTAGTGTAAAGTATGCCTATTTAGTAGAGCATATATTGGGCAAAGCAGAAAAGACTGGCAAGAACATGGAGGAGACACTGCCTTGCCCTTGCCGCCATTGAAACAAATTCTCACTCACTAGGGGATGACTAGGTACTTGTTACATTGTCATAAAAATTATAAAAAAGAGTATAAAAGAAGATCCGAATTTTTCGTACATGTAAAAATCTTGAGGATTTTTTAGTTTCTTTTTCAGCATTAAAACAGAGGAAATTCTAATATCGAATTTATTTCTTGCTATTTCTTTTCAGTTTTTTGTTTGTTAGTTTCTCTTCGGAAGTAGTGGACGGGATTGCCCTAGCGCCTCCCCTGATGAAATTTCTGCGCTCTATTCGAGAAGCCGCTGAATGTCGCTCATTGCTTCGGGGCTCATCTTTTGCCTGATGCAACAGCGCCCGGAATTGTTGTAAAAGTTAGCTTTGCTTCTACTTATTTAACAGCCTGTCCGTCGTTTTCTAAATTATTTAAGCTCTAGTTATTTGATAAAGGTGACGAAGGAGAATGGCAACCGATTCTTTGAGTTCTGAAATGGATAAAATGGACGTAGAAGGTAAGAGAAACCCCACGTGTGCTCGAGCGCCAAATTTGCGGCCGAATGTCCTTTGTTGTGTCTCTTCCAAACCGGCCAGTCCCTTATTGAATTTAGTTAATATAGTTATAGCATTTTTCAAACCTTTGGCGATGCATTTAATTTGAAGGCCTATTGGAAAAATTCAAGGTAAAAACTTTAATAGATCAAGAATTATTCCACATGTAAAATTCCTGAAAATTCACACTTTGCAGACAATTAAGCTTAAGTACTTTTGTTTTCGTTTCATCAAGATCATTTCGCTATGTACAAATGCACGAACCAAATATCAGTACAGTTTTTTCCCTCTGAATTCTTGAAAATATGTGGAAGTGCTATAGTAGTATTAAATGTATGCCACGTTACGTGCGTTGCAAAGATGTTCGCGCATGAAATTGTACTCTGAGTTCTTTAGTAGCCGTTCGCTGCATTCTTGCACCGCGAGTCGGTTAGGTACCTCATAGGCTTATATCATAATCGCATTACTTAACATCAACCGATAGTATGCTCGATGTCTTATAATGCACTTTGTACAAAAAATTGGGAAGTTTTGTGGAGTATTATTTTTTTTTATACAATGTACCTACTTGTACAAATTATTTTAGAATTTTCCACATTTTTGAAATTTAATTTGAAAACCTAATTTTTAAGCCTTGCCAAATGTCAGTTCTGAAAGATACCTGTTAGTAGCTGATTGGTTTGCGTTGTTGAATTAAATTGTTTTTGACAGTGATTAAAATTATTAAATTCAATTTAGAGAAATGATAGTCTGGGTGCTATTATCTTCCACTTCCTTCCTGCTTTTAAGACAGGGAGGAAGTAGGAGGTGCCTTTGTGTAGATGCACTGTATTTTAAAAAGCAATCTGGTTGTAACAAGTATCGTTAACTTATGACGTATAAATAATTAGATGGCCCATGGGTAAACTGCTTTACAAAATGTAATTACTAGGGAAACTGAGATCACATGTCAGTATTTTAATGTCATTGCCCTGCTGACACCATTAATCTTTCCAAGACTGTTTTGGCCAATTCGAAAAATGGTCACATGCTTCATTTTGATTATTATTTTATTAAATTGTACTCCTTTGTTTTGCTTCATTTGCATGGTAATACTATTTATAAGTGCCCAAGAAAATATTTACTGTATTTCTGGCCATCTCACATGTGCATTGTAAGGGAACAAATACCATTTTTTGACTAATACTGGTAAAGGATATAAAGAGAATAATTTTGCAAGATGAAAGACCAGTCACTTTGGATGCTCTTTATCCTAGAAAGGTCTGTATGAGTACAGTAGCATGTCTAACTGCTTGCCTTTCTCTCAAAATATTCGGGAGATAACCATATTACACAGGAGTTTTTAACTCAAATCCCAGGCACCAAAGGAAAAATTTACTATGCATTGATATTTTGCTATATTCAAAGAGTAACCAGTTTTTGTATTGCCTACAGAGTTTGCCAGAAATTATAATAATAAGCAATCCAATAATTGTCACGGCAGAATATATACCCATCTTGTGGCTTTATAATGTGAGACTTGTCCTATGACAGCTACTGTCCTTATCAGTTCTCAAAGGTGTTGCATGGTTTCTTCAGTCATGACTGTTGGTTTCCCTAAATGAGTTACTGTATATCAAAAGAGCCACTTATGTGGTGCTAATAATAGGTAGATTGTACATCATCTTGTGGGAGGCGTGGTGGCCTCATGGTTAGTGCGATCGTCCCTGGAGCAAGCAGTCTGGGTTTGAGCCCTGGCTGGGGACACAGTGTTGTGTTCTTGGGCAAGACACTTAACTCTCACAGTGCCTCTCTCCACCTAGGAGTATAAATGGGTAGCGGCGAATTGTTGGGGGAAGCTAACAAATTGCGGGGGAGTGACCTGTGATGGACTAGCATTCCGTCCAGGGGGAGTAGAAATACTCCTAGCTACTTCATGGTACAGAAACCGGGATAAGCTCCAGCAGCTATGAACCATCGGCTCCAAGGCTTCACACACAAAAGACACATTAAGATACACAAATTCTCAAAAAAAAAACTCCTTCCAAAATTCCAGGGTATATACTAGTCATTCTCTTTTAAATTTCTTCTAGGATCTTGCTAGTTATCTAGAGATGCGCTGCTCCTCCCTTTCATTCCTCCGAAGGGGGACCTGGCTATGTACCCTAAAGCTGTCCCACTCAGTTCATTGCTCTAGACCTCATAGGCTCGCAAAGGCCCCTCCTCAAGACAGTGTATACCAAGCTAGCTTAGCAAGAGCCATTAGAATGTATGCCCCTCTAAGAAGTATAGGTTAGTTTCTCTGTTGTGTTGAATTTTAAAGTGCAAGTAACCTCTTATTGACTGCACGTAAATGCAACTTACAGTTGATATAACAAAAATATTATTAACTCCCATTTGTGTATTGGAAATTCTTTACAAGCCAATGGTCCAGTGATCTACACCTCTGAAAAGGAAGGAAGTGACGAGTCTGGCGATGGATCTGCACAGAAGCCATTCAAAACTGTTATGCAGGTAAAGGAACTTGTAAGCTGTTTTGACTGTTAAGTGAGTTACAGTACAAACATTTCTTGAGAACGTTAATTCATAAAAATGTTTTATTTTAGTAACTACATTGTTTAATAGCTAGCAGTCAGGGGAGTGTATTAATTTTGTTAGTGATGTTAACATGTAGACCTAAATTGACATGGGTCTGTTGTCCCTTCCCTCTTAAGGCCTTACGTGTCACTGAAGGTGAAGAACCTCTTCCCCAAATCATGGTGGACAGTAAAGCTGAAGGAGAGGTACATGTATAATTTTTCAATACTGACCCAGTCACTTAAATCTGTTCATGAAATAAATATTTTTCAGGTAGTTGCAGCTGAGTACCAACCAAATGTTTTTTAGTTTGTTGGTTATGGCACACTGCAGTTATTTATCTCCTCTTAATTGAATGGAAACATGGACATGAAGACTTTCTTTAGATTTGCGTGCAAGATTTTTAATCAGAATATAATTGAAGTGTGGGATCATGTAATACTCCTTGTCAGCTCATGTACATGCATGCGTCTGATTTGGGAAAAGCTGCTCTTAACCAAGCAATTAATAATAAGTTTGTTTTGTTTTCAGAAATATGAAAAGCTTGCCAAGGCCCAACTGAAGAAGGTGACCAAAATTTATGCACAGGAGAAAAAAAAGTCGGAAGATAAAGAGAAAAAAGAGGTGACTGAAATTTTACAGTCTGTAGTGGTGTGTTGAGTAAATGTATCTTGTATGGATACTAAAGGCTGGGCTACATGTAGTCATACGACTGCCCACAAACGAGCTTGCAAGAATTGTATCACAAGATTATTTTTGTGTAAATGAAACATATTTATAATGTCACAGGTGAGTTGTAGCTTTGATTTACATAAAACAATTTGTGTCATACCCTTGCTATGAGTATGATGTACACTTGTAGTTGACCAAGTTATACCATTCTACATCTGCCCTTTAGAAGTGTTTCTGTTTTCAAATTGCTTAATTATCAACTGTGCATGTTAGGACATCCAGCGAAAGTGCTACTGTAAGAGTAAGCTAAAATAAAGTGACTAGTTTGCTGTCTCGTCAGTAGCACTTCCCCAAGTCCATACGAGTACCCTACCCCATCCTATCCTAAGATATTGATAGTCTCTTAGCTTGGACTATACTGTGGGTCTGGTAGATTTCTTTTTAAATTATACCTTTATATTGTTACAACTGTATTACATTTACACAATGTTTTAACACAATGACAATAACATTTTTTTCAAATTTTTTCATCTGTATTTAAAGGCTGAGAAAGCACAGCAGAGGGAAAAAAATCTTGAAGAGGCCAAGAAAATTTCAATTAAGGAGGATGAAAGTTTGCCAAAAGCCAAGAGGGTAAGCATTCAGTATAAGAAAAATGCTTGATATAAGAAACTTGTATACTCTAATAAGTAATTTTCAAATATTTATTAATCAAGAGTGTTTGTTGATCATCGGTATTACTAAGGGTAAACTGCTTGAATGTAAAGTAAGGATTAACTCGTTTAACTCAAATGATTATTTTTGTTGGCAGATTGAAAGCAATATAAGCGTATGTGTAAGATGTGCATGGAAAAATGATACTCCTAAATGTAATTTTAGGACGTATGGACATAGCATTTTCATATGCTCCATTTTTATGGATTGCACTACCAGACAAATAAGTTGTAGGTTGCTGACAACATTAAAATCTAAGCTAAGGACTTTTCTTTTAAACATATTTTTGGAATTCTTTAACTTAATAATTTGAATATTTCCTTTTTACCTGTTTATTATTTTAATTATTTACTTATTATTTTATTAGGAAATTGTACAGCGCTGCTGGATGTTCAGAAGCATGCGCTATATAAAATTACATTATTATTATTATTATTACTTTCAAAATTGGAAGTATAGAAGTCATAGTACTGTTACTTCCAATATTTATTGCAAGAGTCAAATTATTAGCACTAAGAAACTCCATCTGTTTTATTTTTTATTGTGTCTCCTGTAAAAATCATAGATAAGGATCATTGAGTCTGTAACTCATCGTGATCAGCGGGTCAAGGTGTTTGGTTGGATTCACAGACTCAGAAGACAAGGTGCTGTGAAACTAATAGTTATGTAGTAGGACCAAGACAAAGTTATGTATTAAAACATTTTATATAGTTCTCATTAGTGGACTCCTATCATAATAAAACATTAAAATTAATATTTTTAGTCCCTGAGTGACCAAGGCCATCCTTTTCTTAATTATGGTTTCCGATCAGGGTGACCAAGATCTAACAATTGAAAGACTCTCTCCTGTTCAGTTTATTGAGCAACCTCATTAATAGGTGTCTTGTTGAAATTGACTGCACAGCAGGGCTTTTAAAAGCAGTCTGTACATGTATTCAATATAAATTTGTAATCATCAGATATGTTGTATCCCAAGTATTCAAGATTTGATTTCCATTGTTTATTGTGAGTCCTATATTTCATGCTATCAACTAGAATTAATTTAAGTACAGTAGAACCTCCCGCAAGCGGACACAATCAGGAGCAGAGAGAGTGTCACTGTGTTTGTAGGTGGCCGGGACCGTATCATTATCTAAGTGTCTGATTACAGGAGATGGCCACCTTCAGGAAGTGTCCATTAGCATGCAGTATTCCTTTAATTCCTCTTCATCATTTTTCCTTTAGGGAAAAACCTGATGTTTATAGTTCTTAGAGATGGCAATGGGTTTCTGCAATGTGTCTTGTCAGATCTTTTGGTAAGCAGGACAAATCACATCATCATTTAGATACATGCAGTTCGCTACCTGAGATCCATTCTTCAAAAAGTTTTATCAGTATAGGTACATGTAGTACATAGACATTCCTTCCAACATATGTAATTAATGTTCTTTCCTGAAGTTGTTCATTTATAATTTTTGATTAATAATTTATTTCTTCTTTATAAAAAAATTATGTTATCCTGCAAGGACCCTTTTTTGTTATCAACTCAACTTTGCTCAATGCTGGTTTTATTATGTTTATTATGTTAATGTAATCACTACTAAGTTCTCAATTTCAATTGACATTAGGTGTGAAATCAGCCTCCTTTTTCCATTTTACAGTGCCAGACCTATGAGGCCCTGATATTGGCAACAGAAGCTTCTGTATGTCTTTATGGTGTCATTAAAGAAGTTCCAGAAGGAAAAACAGTGAGGGTTTTTCTTTTAATTAGTTGTGGAATTTGTTTGAGGGTTCAGTAGCATCTGATACTGACAGCCGTATTCTTCATCCAGGCCCCTGGAGGTCATGAAATGGCTGTGGACTACTGGGAACTAGTGGGGGAATCCCCATCTGGTGGAGTTGATAACCTGGTGAATGAGGTCAGTCGATAATTGCAATATTTGGTCACACATCTATTAAAACACCTTTAAAAACAATATTGTGTAGTTCCAGAAAATATCCATACCCCCACAGAAGGGACCCCACCCTCTAGAAATTCATACATTTCTTTAAATGTTTTGGTCCTCCAGAACCCCCCTCCCCCCCCCCCCATCCCCCAGGAAAGTACAACACACCTGAACTATTAATACATGTTTATGAGTGTGTAAATATCCTTGTTTTTGAGTCAACTGAAGATGATCAAATCAAATAGTAATTAAAATTGATATGTTGAAAAACAGTATAAAAATATAAACAGTTTCAGTCAAACTTTACGGGCTTAAAGATTCTGTATTAACTGTCGCAACAGACATCTGAAAATGACTTATTATAATAATTAAGCATTGTGATTTTCTTGGTAAGTTTTACCTTCATTTGACGGCATACATCACTTTTGTTAATTGTTATTTCTTTTGAAGGAATCGGCCATTGACACTCAGCTTGATAACAGGCATATCATGCTTAGAGGTGACACGGTAGGATTTTTCTAAAATTGTAATATTGTTATAATGTCTTTGTACTGAGCTCATGGTGTAGTTTAGTGTGTTTATGGTATAATGATCTGTACAAAATACTCCAATCACTGTTAACGTCTTAGTCATGATTTTTTTTTTGCAAGGTTTCAAGAATCCTGAGAATGCGGTCAACAGTTACACGGTGGTTAGTTCTTACTTTGTTCACCTGCAGGGCTCAGAATAATTTTCAGCCAATATCAATGGGAAGAAACTTTGACAGCGAAATTTAAGCAAAAAATTGTCAGATACCAAATGAATACATGTATTTGGGACTCTTATTTTAGTCAGGAGAAAATCTCTCTTGTAGAAGTCTCTGCTGGCAAGCTTCTTTTGTAATTTTCTATTTGTGACTGTATTTTTTTCTTTCACAAAGAGGGAAAATTGAAGATAACAATTGAGGATTTGACTGTTTATTCACGATAGTATGCACATGGATGTGCTTGTCAACATGAACAGCAAGTGAAATTTTTGGCCGGTCAAGTTACCATTCTGACCGGACATTATACATTGGCCGGCTGTTATTTTGGGCCCTGACCTGATTAACTACTTCTTCAGTTCAATCTGGTTTCATTTTGTTTACTTATACAAAAAGTCAGGAACAAGAGGATTACATGTATCTTACTAGTAATGTGTCTCAGTTTGTATCCTCTGCTAGTCTAGCTTCTGAGTAGCAATGATTATTTGGGATACATGTACAGTGTATGCAAGAACATTCTTGGTTCTTTCTTAGGGTTCGTTTCTTTAAGAAAATCCAAGATTGCATTCTTAAATGTGAAAGAATCCAAAAGTGGATTTTGCATTTTTTTACTAAACAGATCAATCCAAGATTTCACAGATCATGATGCGTCAAAGGAACTGAAGAATCCACTTCTGTTCTTCGGTTTCTTTGACGCACCATGATCCGAGAGATCTTTGATTAATCTGTTTAGTAAAGAAACGCAAAATCCGTTTTTGGATTCTTTCAGATTTAAGAATCCAATCTTGGATTTTCTTGAAGAAACACACCCTTAGAACATGTTTCTGTTTCATGAGAACTATTTTCATCCAGAAAATGACTATTAGTCACTTTTAATTAAACATTTGAGATTACAATGTGAAATTGAAACTATCAAACTGGACTTTCTTTATTTTTCAGCTTTAGGGACCATTACTTTGATCACAGTTATGTGGAGGTAATTATATTGATGATATACACTTAAAGATTTTTCTTTTTCTCCTTGATTGGGGTTCATTTTGTAATTTAATTAACTTGAAATTCTGGTTCAATCATCTTGTCATTTTGAAAAAACTTACTGTTGGAACTACATGTATCCCTCTTCTGATAGGTGACTCCACCCACAATGGTCCAAACACAGGTCGAGGGAGGCTCCACTCTCTTCGATTTCAACTACTTTGGTGAACAAGTAAGTTATCTTCTTCAGATTAGTTCTTTTGTGCTCATCTGTTCTTTTTTCCCTTTGGATTCAAGTGCTTGAAATATGGATTGATATAGTCTGTTATACATGTGTGATGTCAGTGTTCAATCATTTCAGGCATATTTGACACAGTCATCCCAGCTTTACCTGGAGACAGTCATCCCAGCATTGGGTGATGTGTTCTGCATTGCACAGTCATACAGGGCAGAACAGTCACGTACAAGAAGACATTTGTCCGAGTAAGATTATATTATTTTCCTTGTGTCGTGTTTCTGATGTCACTATGGACGCCTTTAAGCCATAGAAATGGGCGACAATTAGTAAAGTAGGGGTGGCCAAATTGCTGGTAATTGAAAACTGGTTTACTGTATGCATATGCATGATGTAATACATTAAAAAAAATAAATGGTTTTCAACAGAAACCTATCTTTACCAGCAAATTTAGCAGAATAGCTTTAATTAATGTAAGATATCCTATTTAGTTAATCATGTGACATGTCTGGTTCAATTAGAGCAATACATTGTACCAGAAGCAGTTAGTTTCACATAGAATTACCTGTACATGTATATGCTGCACATGCGTGTATAATTTAGAAGTTTCATGTGAGTATTAAATTAGAATACATATGATGTAATATAATTTTTATTATAACAAATACAAGTGTGAGTGGTCTTGGCCATGTTTTGCATATAGGTGTAGTGGCACATTGGTCCTGAGCATCAATCTTAATTCTATTTTTTATCATCTACAGATACACTCATGTAGAAGCTGAATGCCCCTTCATCACATTTGATGATCTTCTGGACAGAATAGAAGACTTGGTGTGTATGAGGAGACTAATTTTATCATTATCTGAATGCTCTTCTCTATTCTATGTCACAAACAGTATTTTGCCATTAATGAGAATGCCATAGTTAAAAATTAATGCAATCCTATATTATTTTTCAGGTGTGTGACGTTGTTGACAGAGTGTTAAAGTCTCCTCATGCAGATATACTGAAGGAAATGAATCCAGTAAGGGCAATCAGTTTGGCTACATCTGCATCAAATCATGCAAGAATATAATCTTGGAGTTACATTTTAAGAACTAAAAATATTAAATTCATCCTGACCACAATTTCTCCATAAACGTCTATTCAGTGTTATCATTAGGATCCAGCAGTTAAAAGTATACATTGCAGGTTTCTGTACTTGAAATGTAAGAGCTTCTAAAGAAGCTGTTTGACCAAATTGGTGGTCAAGTTTAACATTTATCAACTTGAAGTTGGTAAGGTAAATTAACCACGGCAAGTTCGTGAAAAATTTTGATGTTTCAAGTAATAGCCCTTCATCAGGGCAAAGATGATTTCACACTTAACTCCCTTATTTTTCTGCCCTTGACTCCACCATGTAAAAACTACATGTAAGTGTGACCCTTACCTCAAAAATCTTCATCAAAATTTTCACTTTTACATTTATTTACATTTATTTATCTACTTCACTGAGGTCTGTTTATAACATTAAACTCTTTACGTCTTTCAGGATTTTAAGCCTCCTAAAAGACCTTTCAAGTGAGTAAAGTATTCCTGCAGTGATGTCGTGATTCGACTTGATTCAGGACTCAATTCATATCAAGACTAATTTGATGTGAATACTTGTTCTTAACAGGAGAATGGACTATTCTGATGCCATCAAGTACTTGAAAGAACACAACATCAAAAAGGAAGATGGCACTTACTATGAATTTGGAGAGGTACTTGTAATGTTTATATGTTAAAGATACATGTATTAAGATGGAATCCACCAGAAGCTGGAGTAACAATTGGCCAAAAACCTTGTACCAACATTATTCACATGGTATTGCAAACTCCTGTATCAATGTTTTAAATATCTTCTCAGAAAAAAAAAACACATTTCTAGCAACACCAAG